TGAATCCGAAATAAATAATATCAATGGGAAAATTCATTTTTTTTTATCACATTACATAAAGCAAAAGTCCATTTAAACATTAATTTTAACATTAAAGAATTTTAATGTTCATAGAATTAAATTTAAAAAAAAATATTCTAGTTTTTAAAATGAATGCAAGTTAAATATTTTAGTTTATAAAAAGTTTGAAGAGTAGAAAATGATTAGAATAAAACCCTTTCAGCTCAACCCTTCAAGTAGGAATACATTCAACATTTAGTGAGAATATACTCCAACTCTAAAACATTTTTTTAAAATAAATTATTAACGTATGATTATTAACATATTATTAAAACGCGTAAATACGAATTGTGATATGTGATTTTTAAATCATGCACTACGAAAAAGTATAGGTTGTGCATGTGTTGTTATTTTTCGATTAAATGACTTTTTTAAATTATCTTTGATTTTCTGTTTGAATATGTGAATCAATGTGTTTTATAACATTTTCCATCATATGAAAGTTAATACCGAAAGCTCAAGATCCTTTAATTAGTAGTTTTCTGACAGATAGATTTATTACTTATGATGTCCAAGATGAAACAATCACACAAATGCTCTACCTGGGGGTCCTACAGGTTTCAAGCCTAAGGCCAATCCTGTGGTTATTAATTGCAAATATAATTTTTGACAGCCAAAGACATCTGCAAAAATCAATAATAACTTTTGCTGATTGCTTTTTTATTTTGATCACTGGTACATTATCAAAGAATCTTGGACCATTGGCTTTTTCCATACTGACAAAATATCTTGTTTGGGAAAAAGAACAAAGTCAGTATTCAAAAAACAGGAGCAATTATATTTCCCAAGTAGAAAAAATACACAAGAAAACCAACAATTAAAATGATCGGTTAAAATATCGGGAATCAACCTTCGATTGATTATTTGGGATTCTAGCCTAACACAGCTAACTATCTTAGCTACCTCATCTCCACTATCTAAAAATATCAAATTTATTCTAAAGTTATCAAATTTCAAGGCAAATGAAACAGAATTTCTGGAGCAGACTGGGGAATTGGCCTGAAGATCGAGAAATTCATCTATAGAAACGGTAGGCTTAGAGTAATTTTATAGGGGGCGGAAATATGGTATAACGAACAGGTCCGGACGTTAAACAGAATCAAGAAAATTGAAAGAATAATTCTATTGGCTATAACTAAAGCATACAGAACAACATTAACTGAATCTTTGCAAGTACTCTCAGAAACCATACTCTTAGATGGTATATTAGAAACTGAAGCAACTTAATCAAACTTCTTTCTACACAACGAAATAGAAATTAATCAGCAAATACCATCTGAAGTACCTATACACCACCCTGCTGAAACAATTTCCATGAAATTCATATACCTCAGAACTGGAAATTTATACTGATGGTTAAAAGCTTAAATATCTGAATAAATTTAGAATATGATATGCCTTCGTAGTCCACTACAATGGAAACGTCATGGACAGCAGACAATTCTTCAGTTTTTAAAGCCGAGCTTTAGACGATTCTCCAGTTTATCTACTAGATAACCGACCAACTAATCAGTGATACAGTAAAAAGTTTCTCAGACTCTCTTACAGGTTACAGGGCTTTTCTAATGCTCATAAAATGGATGGATTACATCATTTCAAGTATAAAAAACAGATGAACTTCAAACATCCAGCTAAATTGGATTAGAGCCCATCAGGGCACATGTGGAAACGAAGAGGCGGATAGATTGATTAAGCAGGCTTGTTAAAGAGAGAATATTGACCTTTTTGACGAAGAATCAAAACATACAATTACGAAAAGACTAACCAAAAAAATCCTTGAACTCCTGGCAAATGAGATGGAGCAAAGCATATACAAAGGGAAGACATACTCACCAAATTTTTGACAAAGTACAGATCAATTATACATTTATAAATTTTTACATAAATCAATTTCTAACCAACCATGGAGTCACATGCATCACATCGAAATAAAATATTTGAAAATCTAAATACTGTAACCTCTATGGTTTGTTGGAAGATCTTGAAACATTCTGATAACCTGTCCAGTTTATAATCAAACACGAAATGCATATTTCCCAAAAGGGTTAAACTGTAACAACCTAATACAGCATTGGAGAACAAAGATAATTTCAAAGGGCATACAAAAAATTATTGAAGGTTCGAGGAAAAGAAAAATGATTCTTTGGTAAAACAAACTTATTTAATGTAATGCATTACTTTTCCAGTTTCATCTACTGTTTCATCCGTATATATACATTATTTCAAAATAAATTATCTTTTGGGTATACTAGTGGATATTTCTTTCTAGAAACTGTTGCAAAGCATTTACAAAACTAATCAGGACTCTGTTATACTTGGTTCAAAATCCCTGATTTTGAAGGCGAGGTTTATTTTCGAGAAATGATATGAATACTTCTATAACCTAATCGCAAATATTCATGTGTCTTTTATTTTGAGGTATAACCTGCCAGATTTCAATAAATTGAAATTTTTATTGAAGTGAGACTTGCCTTCCAACTGATTCAGATACTAAAGTGAATATAAGATTTATCATTATGTCAGAACATTTACATTAATGCATCATTTTTATATTTTTAAACTCAGTGAAACTGTTTGCAAAGACATTATTCATTAGGGATCAATTCACATACACTATGTCTTTAACTAGTTACAAATTTCATTAATTTGATACTGACTTTCACAACATACTTTTACATCTATAAATTTATATTACAGAATATTCTTTAGTTTTAGCTGGGAGCGCTGTAAACAGCACATTTTTAAATCTGTACATTTACACTGAGAGCTTTTTCAATTACAGTTTTGGTGCTATATGTAAGATACTCATCTTTAAATTTTTGTTTTCTAGCTGCTTTGGGAACTTTACTCACTCTTTACCGCTTAGTTAATGATATTATGTTTCATCTTTATATCTGGATGCCTTCATATTCATATATTATGTTCCAATTTTTATCGTGCTTGCCTATAGGGCGTGTAACATCCGTAATTTTATATTATTGAACATTCTTCAGTTGTAGCTAGCTCTGTAAACAACAGATCTTTACAACTGTACATTTACATTGAGAACTTTCTCAATTACACTTTTGGTGGTATGTAAAAAACAGTCATACATATTTACATTGTTTTCTTGCTGCTTTGGGAAGTTTACTGCGTAGTGCATGATGTAGACATGATGTTAAGTTTCATCTTTTCATCTGGACACCTTCACTTGCAATTCTAGTTCATTTATTGTGTTCCAAATTTTATTGTCCTTCCTTATAGAACATGTAACCTCTGTGATTTTGTAGTACAGGACATTTTTCAGTTGTAGCTTGGAGCTCTGTAAACAGCACGTCTTTACATTTACACCCGTGCAACCCAGGGTCACTCTTAAGGTTGTTTCATTTGAAGGCCTCCTTTGTTCATCACAATCTATTCGTTTTCTTGTACTGATAAGATATAGACACGCATTTCATGACTTCAGTATTTCCCGGATGCTCCCTATTGGGGAGGGGCGGGATTAAATTAAATTAAATTGCTACCTTGAACTGGAGATGAATGTATGGTTAGTAAACTCAGTCTGAATAATGATATGACTCTTAAACCAGAAGAAAATTTTGTAAACTTCCGGAGCATTTCTCCACTAATATTAAGTTAATAAGACAATATGTTGGCAGGCTTGATATTCTAGGATGTTTTGTTATTGAAATATGTATTTAAATTTACTAGTAATTTTACTATTTTTTTGTATTTTCTAAAGCCATTAATCGATTTTAGTAATTTAATATTGCAACACAAATAAAGTGTATAAAGGTTGCCATATTTTGAGTCTTATCTTCAGTATTTTATGTTTATAGCTAAAGTTAAATGGTTTTAGTAATTGAATGGTAAATAGCACAAGTCATTTTGAGAACAGTACAAGAATTATTACAATACAGGAGAGAGTAATTTTAAGCTGAGGGGTAAGGAAAAATTGGGAAAGAAGTCGGGAAGTTGCAGTAGTAACCCGGAAGTTTTATTCAGATTTTAACTGTAGTGTCACTTCTGCTTAGCTTAATACAAATTCTCTATAGAAACGTTTTACCATAAGAAAAAAAGTTTTACCTAATAATAAAAAACTGTAAAATTTTGGAAAAGATAGTTATTGAAAAAACAGTGGAGATTTGTTGTTTCCCTGTGAGCCCTTACCACTACGCCCCTGAATTTCTCTGTATTGCTGCAATTCTGTGATGGCACTGAACAGCAAAATGCACTGCCATCAAAGTTGTCAAGAAATATTCCTAATGGCCTTTTAAGGTGAAAAAAAGCACGACAATAAGCTTCAGCACCAACATTTCTCAAAGTGGGATCAACTGACTCATCAATAAAATTTGAAACAATGTTAAGTGCATTTCAGGTAGAGACAGTAGTTACAAAATGTCTAATTGTTAAAAAAACTGTTTTCACTTTTTACATAAATAAGTTATTGCAGTTATTCTTTGTAACTTAGATGTTATATTTTATTCAATTAGATTCATTTGTAGATTATTGTCAATTTTTCTGTGTGGAAAAGTAATTACGCAAAGGTTGGAAGCACATACAAAATGATATGGGGTACAAAATATTCTTAGAGAATTGGTTGTACATATTCAATTGGACAGTCATACCATTTCAGAATTAGTATACTATGACACTTTTACAATATAGTAAATTAATTAAAAGTTTCAGAAATGTATGTGTGGTTACAAGTGATGTAAATGACATTTCACCCATGTTTTATTTAAAAAAAAAAAAAAATTAATTTAAGTATATTGAATGCAATAATACTTAACTATATTTAATATAATTAAGTATTTTATGAGAAACATGCCATTAAATAAGGAAAATAAATAAAATAAAAAAAAAATACTTGAAATTGCAAATTTTAATGTATTGAGAAAATAATCCACAAACTCCTCCTTTTATTATTATAGATGTTCATTTTAATTTTTCATTCTTAGGGATGATCATGGTTTCAGTCCACTTCATTGGGCAGCCAAACAGGGAAGAGCTAACATTGTAGAAATGTTAATCATGAGAGGTTCTCGAATCAATGCAACAAACATGGGAAGTGACACTGCTCTTCACCTGGCCTCAGCTCATGGACACAAAGACATTGTTCACATGGTAACTCTTTTTCACAGATCAGAATTAATTTGTTATTGAAGGAAGTGTTGAAACTGTGGGGCTCAAGTAAAATATTGTGATTTTGATTTTTTTAGACCATAATTTCTTTTTTATTAGTTTAAATTTTGAATTATGCTCTAGAAGTGCATAATTGAGAAAATTTTTTTGCTTTCTTTTTTCATACAGTGAAACCTGCCAAGTTGACCACCCTTGTAAGTTGGGCACTTGCGTAAGTTGACCTCAATTATCAAGAACGAAATTTTTCCTATATAATATAAAGAAGCAAAACCTTTGTAACTTGGCCACCTGTCTATCTTGTATGTTGACCAGGGCCGTAACTACGCCGGGGCAGTCGGGGCACCGCCCCGGGGCCCCGACGATCAAACGATCAAGGGGGCCCCATATGAAGGGACCACGCGAAATTCTTTAAAATAGTTTATATATATATATATATATATATATATACGTAAGAAAAGATTTCAGCTACCAGTCTTTAGCATTTTAAAAAGGATATATGTTCCAAAAACTGGCTATAATTCATTTTCTGGATATAATCGTCGTAGATTTCAACAACGCCAAAGAAAAGTATAGTNTGTGTTAGTTGAAAAGTTGCTCTTCCAGTTGCAATAGTGAGCATTTGAATAAATGAATGCTCTGAAATATGCTTTGATCCTTTATTTATGGTCTTTGATCTTTAAGGGTAGTAAATAAATTTTAAAGTGTTCAAATAATTTTATTTTGTTAAAGTTTTCAAATTACATGTTCTCGTGTTCTGTTATTTTAAGAAATTATATTTATTAAACGCTTCACATGCATAACTAACGAAAGAATTTTTTTAAAAAAATTAGTTAAATATTAGAATTATATGTATCAAATTGAAGTTCAAGATATTCATTTGCATATTTTCTGAATAAATTTTTTAAGTCAAGTAAAAAAAAAACATTCAATTTATAGCAGCGAAAAAGTAAACAATGACCCACCCCCTCTATAAGTTGGCCACTTGTCTAAGTTGACCACTAAAACAATGCACCACAAGTGGTCAACTTACACAAGTTTTACTGTATATGTATAATTATTTCATTAACTTTTCAATTTGGAAATCATACGTTTTTTATCGTAATCATATGTTTGTTTCGAGTAATGCACGTCATATATACTTATTTCTACCACAACCGGTCATTTGCCCGTGAGAACAACTTATTGCATTATAAGGTTATCGGATCAGAAATTACGACGTAATGCATGCTCAACGTATTGCACTCGATTAGTTGTACATTTCTGCAAAGACTGTTGCGTAGTTAGTTCAATCAGAATAACTGTCAATTCAAATTTCAAGAAAGTACCTAAAATTTTAGGTTGGTATGTTTGTGTAAGAAAAAGTGACAACAACTAAATGTTTTGTTAAGTAACTTATATTTTATTTTTATAGCTTTACTTCATTTCTAACTAACTGTTAGTTTTTACCCAGAAAAGTGTTGAAACAATCAAGACAGCACAAGTTCTTAGAAAAAATAATATTAATTATAAGAATTACAATTTTTATATATTCTCATTATTATTAGAATAATTATAAGAATTATGGAAATAACAATAATTAGACGAAATATGTTTGCAGAAAATATACAATGGAAACACCCTGTATATGAAAAAAATAAATTGAGAAATGAATTAAAAATGCTTATTCTTTGTGTTTGTAATTCATAAAAATGGACAATATACTATTTTGTTTAATTATAATAAAGTATTTTTAGTTTATTTCCTACCTAACATCCATATTTGATACATTCAATTGAGAAACTAAGTCCGGTCATTTGACCAACTATTGTAGAAAAAGGTATTAAGTGTTGGTATGTTTAGTGTTAATTTATTTTCTTAATATCTGCTTAAAAATTGATTTAATTAAGGGTATGAAAGAAAAAAATCTGTAAAATTTTTATAGCTACAAAATTTAAAAAGGAAACTATCAGCACACCACATTAATATTTTTAACTTAGTAAGAACCCCCTTAATTTGCAAGCTTATCCTTTTTATATTTGTTAGTCGAAGTATAAATTTTGATTTCCAGTATGTTTAGTCCAATGGAAAAAGCAAATTAATTTATGCATCACTTAATATTTTTATATTAATATTTTTATCATATTTTGATAAATTCTTAGTAATTATATAGTAATTCTTATATAATTTCTCATATATGATTTTTTTAAAAATATTGCATCTTTACTGTTCTAGCTTCTGAAGTGAATAAATTCCATTTTGTAAAAAAATTCTCTTTTATTTTCTATTAAATTTTTTTTCTTCATAAACAACATATTATATTAAAGGTATACACTGTTTCATTGAATAAATGATAGGTTAAATTTGTTCAATCTTCCCTACACGTGGACGACTTCTTGCACTGGCAGCATTTCTCCAAGATACTATAACACTCGTAAATATTCAGTGACCAGATGTTCTAATTTTTCACTGTATGTACAAGTATGACAGGACACTGGTGAGTTTGGCACTCTGTATGTTTTAGGAGAATATTTTTTCAAATTATCTACTGTTCAAAAGAAACTATAAATTTTTAAATCGCTGTATTACTCAGTAGAGCCTGATGTAAAATTTCTTAACTTTTCCCTTTGAGAATAGATTTTTCCCACCATGGTTACCAAGCAACATAATTGCCTGAGGAGAAAAGCAAAATTTGAGTATTCTTATTTCCTGATTGTTTTATGTTCTTGGATTTTTATATATATAAAAATTTTAGGGTTTTTTATATATACATACAGTAGAATCCCAATTATCCANCAAAATCAAGGTGATGCTGACTGTTTTCTTTGATGTCCGTGGAATTGTGCATCGCGAATACGCACATTAAGGACAAACAGTGACAAAGGAGTACTATCAAGATGTTCTCCGGCGACTCCGTGAGGCAGTTCGGCGCAAAAGACCAGACTTGTGGAAGGCGAACAACTGGCACTTGCATCATGCAACGCCTCTGCACATTCATCCCAATTGATCCACACTTTCTTAGCCAAACATGGAATTACAACCATTCGCCAACCTCCCTACTCTTCCGACCTGGCTCCTTGCGACTTCTGGTTGTTTCCAAAATTGAAGACGCCGCTGAAAGGATCCCGTTTTGAGAGTAAAGAAGAGATAATGCGGAACGCGACGACGGAGCTGAACACCATTCCAAAAGAAGACTTCCAGAGGTGTTTCCACCAGTCGAAGGATCGGTGGGCTAAGTGTGTGGAAGCCCAAGCGGCCTACTTTGAAGGGGATTAGGGTCCCAACTCCATCAGATATTTGAAATATTTTTTCTGGTCAAAGGTCGGATACTTTTCAGACAGACCTCGGACAGACAGACATACAGTAGAATCCCAATTATCCGAGCTATTAAATATTTCAAGGATTTTTTTTTTAAAGTTTATTTTCGAAACTACTGCCGAAAAAAAATTTAGAATTTTATTTTACAAACACTCTGGAAAACAACCTAACGGGAAACACGAGATTACCGGTAAAATGATTGTTTATATTGCCAATAATAAAAATCTAGCAAAGATGATGAAGACAGTGACGATGAAAATCAACCTTTAAAAATCTCTCATACAGATGGTTTAAAAGTTATCAAAAGCGCTATTGAATCTATAGAACAACAAGAAAAGGCGACAGCAGCCTTCTTGTTCTCCCTACAAAAAATTGGGAAACATTGCTGCAGAAAAGCGCTAAAGTAATGTAAAACAAATAACGATTAAGGACTTTTTTTAAGTAAAAACTCTTTCATTCACATGCAGTATGCTCCTTTAAGTAAGCTTTTTAATTATGACATGAATTGTATGTGGTATAAATTTTGTATTTGTTAAATATATTACATTTGTACATACTCTTTTTTCTTTCCTTTTTTATACTCTTAGCTTTAACAGAGTTAGTCGTGGTCCACATTAACTCAGATAATCGGGACTCTATGCATATATATATTTAAACTATTAAAATGATTTATATTAAGAATGAACTATTTATGTTTTATAGTTATTGAGAAATAAAGCTGATATAAATGCTGTTAATGAGCATGGCAATACTCCACTACATTATGCCTGCTTCTGGGGATTCCAAGGAATTGCTGAAGTAAGTGACTTTTTATTTCTTATCAAATTTAATTCTTGGATAATTTGACTGATTTTGAATTTAAACACTTTGTAGGATTTAATTAACAATGGTGCTCTTGTGTCCATCTGCAACAAATATAATGAAACACCTCTGGACAAATGCAAAGGCCAAATGACACAAAAACTCTTAGGTAAGAATCACCTTTTACGGTAAAGTGGACTGAATCTGTATAAGGTTAATATATATATTTTTTGCATTTCAAAAATATATATAGGTGAGAAGTTTTTTTTTTGGCCTAACAAGGCTTAATTTTGAATTTTTAAGAAACATGAAAAGTCAATCTGTAAATATATTTTGAAGGAAGCAAATGTTAAAGTTGATTCTTATTATTATGAATAATGCTATTAGTTTTATAATATTTCACATTAAAATAGGCAATTCTTTTCTACCTTTTATTTTCTTCCTGGCTGATAATAAATGATATCACACTTTTTTTACAACATTTCTGACCCCCTCTTCTTTTTTTTTTTACAAAGTGGCACACCTTAACATCCTAACCCCTTTTGTCACATCTTACACAGATGTATGCTAGGAGTTTAGGAACAAAACTCATGTCGTAGATCATACTTCAAATTTTATTTTTGAACTTTCGACTAAGCTTTTAATTTTTGTGAGCATATCAAAAATAATTAGTAAGTTTATTTGTGATTTAAAAGATGAAGAAAATACTAAACAAACAATAAAAAGAAACTTTATCTGCTGAATTTAAATATTTTTTTATTTTAACCAAAATGTGAGATGTCACCCTTGTCATAAACTGTTATAATATCTCAAATCCTCCCCTCCAATCGAGACATCGACTATGGATATTTATTATCAGTTGAAATATAATGATGACTTCTTGCATACATACATGGCAACTTCTTCAACATACAATTAATTAAAGCAGTTATTTAATTTTAATGAATTTTTCTTAAAGGACTTCCTTTGAATTTAACACTAAAAAATTCTTCTATTATTTGATAGTGTAGATAGGGTAATTAATAACTTATACTTCTGAAACAATTATAGAAAAACTATTGAGACTTCTTAAAAGTTTTCATTAAATGATCTAATTTTTTGAAAATACAACCTCATCTAATATTTGTTGTTGTTGCTAATTCCCATCTGGTCTGACGGAGTCACACCAGATCAATAAATCCTTTGACATTTAGGAAGTCTGAAACTAAAAGGGGAGAAGAATGAATGTTGTTCCAGTCCAGCCCTAAACAGTTCAAGATGTGCTCAGGTGATGCCTAGTTTTGTTGGCATTTAGGGCAAAGAGGAACGATCTTTTGATTAGCAGAAAATGTGAGACTTTTCAGGTATCCGCTGGCCAGTCGGGATAAGCAAGTGTTGGTCTGCCTGTCACCAGGAAGAGATAGAGAGAGTCCTGGTCTTTTTGCTTTATACCAGTAGTGAATAGGTGGAAGCAGCCACTTTAGTTTGTTCTGGGCCTTTTGCCTTGCGAAAAGTTCAAGGTATGTTATCTCTGAGGTGGAGGGGACTGGAATATCTAGTCCCTTCATTGCAAGAGTGTCAGCCAACTTGTTTCTGAGGATATCAACGTCTAATATTTGTAAAATTATGTAATAAATGTTTTTTTTTTTTGGTCAAATATAATTTTTATGCTCAAAACTTCTATGAGTTTTGATTGAAAAAATTTTATGTATACAATTTTTTATTTCCATGTTAGAACTGGCAGCACAGCTTGGACAAGATACAAAGAAAATTCCTTACAAGGATCAAAGTTGGCTTGGAACAAAAACTCGATCAAGTATTTATCTCACTTTTAGTTATCTTTATTTTATTTATTTATCTTTTTTTGTACTGAAAATAATTCACGTAAAGCTAAATTTTTGTTTTAAGTGTTTTTAATGTTTTGTAGGAGATGCTACTTTATCTCGCCACTCTGGAATCAATTTAAAAGAAATCAGTTTCCAGTTTAAACTCTCTGTCACACCCTCAGGAGAAGTATGATAAATTTGTTGGTGTGATTTTAAATATTGTATAATTTAAAATTGTTTAGGTATTAAACTTTGAAAGTTCAGGCAATATAGTAATAAGCTACTCTCCTAGTTCTATAGATTCCTGACGATTCTCTGGAATTTCCACTTGATAACAGCATAATTCAAAAATCTTTTATTGCTTACATTGCAATTGTGTTGACTGAATAATTTGATAATGTGGCTTATCGTTGTATTGCCCCAAACCCTACATTTATATTGATTTAAAACTGTACTGGCTTTTTTAAAGTAGTAAGAGAGAGTGAGGGTAATTTTGTATTTAATTTTAAGTACCTAATATACTAATTATTTAGTAAAGATGCTAGTATTTTTATTGAAGTTGGACTGCTTAAAACAGGGGTCCCAAACCTTTTTGTACCTAAGAGTAAATACCAGCATATCGGTCCAATGGTGGCCACCATTTATTTTTTTAAGATAAATTTATAGTTGGTAGACATACACACTGCATATAATGCACAAAAAAATTTAATTTTAAAAATTAATTTAACATATGGTTATAATTAGCATTATTATTCTTGTGTAAAATAAATGATTACTAAATTGATTGCAAAACATAAAAAGTAAAAAATTATTTATAAAATATATAAAATACAGTCAATGTGATCTTTGACATTGCATTTCACTGGCCAGCGCTTCATAATTGAGAATATGATGAAATTCCTGCTTGCGAGCAATCGTCAAGGTGTTCATCTGTAAGTCGTGATTTTATTTTGAATTAATGATATTGTCAAAAACAATGATTCACACAAGTATGTGGAACCAAAAAACGACTTTAATTTATATGCTGCTCTTTTTAAGAATGGAAATTTGAATGGAACACTGAAATATTTTAAGAATGGAACACTGAAATATTTTATGGTTGGGCACAAGCAGCAGACGCACCTAAACGGATTGATGGGCGCCATGGTGAACGAGGGCATAGGGTTAGGGACCCCGTGCTGAAACTAATACCATGTTCGAAACAAAAGCTACCTCATAAATAGTCGTTTTTATTGGGAACAAGAAAAAAAAAGATTCTACATTTTTATATTGTAAGGATGGTAGTAATCATAGTCAGAAAAATAAATGCTAGTTTTATTTTTAGCTCTTATTACAAGCACTTAATACTATACAATAATAATTTTCATATTAAAAGTGTAATATTTCAATTTTATTTTTCTGGTGACCCTTTTTTTAGTTATCAGACAAATAAAGTTTAAATAGCTGATTTAATCACCTGTCATAAGCTTGCTTATCCTAATTTTATGTGCTACAGTTATTTTTTTTTTATCTAAATGAAACTAATTTTAAACATTATTATAATCCTATTTTACAGTTCTTAATAGTTATAATTTTGTATTAAAATATCTTGTGAATATTTAATTGACTAGACTGACAACAAAAAATATGCAATATGAGCCCTTTGAAATCTGCATGTAAATAACATAATTTTTTTTTTTGTAAATTTTTAAGTCATATCAAAAAATTATAACTCCTCTCTTAATATCATAAAATATGACATTTATAAATAATAAGAAAGGACTTGATATTTTTTCAAGCTAGTTTTAATCAATATTAAATTTGGTGAATCTTATTAGTGCTGAGTTTTACTCCAATGTATGTAAGTGTAAAAGCATTTCATTGTTAGCAACATTTTTATTTCAAAAACCATACAAGCTTTATATTATATGCTATTTTAAACTAAACTCATCTTAATGGATTTCATTATAAGGTAATCTATACTTAATCTATGCATATAACTTGTTTAAAAATATCTATTTTTATAGCGAAATGTAAATAAAAAAGTGAAATAAATAAAATGAACAAATTATTAAAATCAATCAATAAAAAAACAAAGAGTAAATAAAGCCTTCAAGCAAATAAATCAAAACAAACAGCCTTACTAAGCAATATTTATAAAATTGATTGTCTCTATTTAAATGATAATTCCTGTTTTAGACTTGGCGTGGTCAGTTCCAGCACAATGACATTGTAGCCAAGATACTAAATATTCGAGAAGTAACTCCTCGTGTCACTAGAGACTTCAATGATGAATATCCGCGCTTAAGAATTTTCTCCCATCCGAATGTTCTTCCTGTTATCGGTTGTTGCTGTCACCCTCCCAGCCTGATTCTCATTAACCAGTACATGCCTTTTGGCTCACTATATACCGTGCTTCATGAAGGAACAGGTCTGTTTCTTTTTTTATTAATAGTTATGGGTGCCCACTTCGAGAGAGGGTGCACCTAATGAACTAAAAATTATATTTTGCCTTAAAGTGATAATTATTATTTTAAAAAGCCATAACTAAGGCTTCTTATGTGTCATAGTATTAAATACATTCCCTTTCATAAAGTAAGCACAGTCATAAATTAAGCACAGTTTTCTGCTTTAATTAACTAATTAGAAGATACAGCAAAAGCAAATAAAACGAAAAGAAAATTAAACAAAAAGGACACTTGAGAAATCATTGTTTTTTACTTTTGGCTCTTGCCTTATTTAATTAAAGATGCTTTTTATTTTTTTTAATGTAAAGTTTAATTTTACAAAAAATTTTTTTTTTTGTTGTCAGAAATTTTTGGTTTAATTGCTTAAATTTAATACTTGAATTTTGATTTGCAATTGTAAAAATATTTTTCAGAAATACTTGGAGAAAATTTTTTATTTCCACATAGTTTTTGAAATATTACAATGAAAAATTTTCCTAGTTGCACCTCCTAAGAAAGTTTGTATAAGGGCTCTTGTTTGTAATTGTATTTTATGCAAATATGTCCATACATTTTTAAGCGATTATGTACAGTTCAAATAATAAAAAAAGAACACCTTAATAATTTTCTATCGTATGATCAGTGCAGTATGACTTATCACTTTCTTTCTATTATATTACTTTGAGGGTGTGCCAATTTAGTGAGTGATGATTATTCGAGTTCAGTACTGTTTTCATGCATGGACACATCCGGGCGGTGCCGGTGACCCTGGCACTCAGGGGGACCTTGAGAATCTTACTTTTTATAAATTCTATTAAAAAAAGCTAAGTATTAACAACATTGCCTTATATATTTTTTTAAGATAAATATATTCTATTGTATAAAGTCAGTATTTCGTTTTTATTTCGACAAATAGTGATTGATTATCGTGCAAACACCAATAGTTTGAATAGTTTCTCACCAAGAAAACTTTAACAGGCAACCAAAATCTATTTTTCTACATTTCAAAGGAAAATTTAAGGTACTAGACTCTCACTTAATGTTCAATTTGTGCCTGCAGGGTTCGTATGCTCCTGGAAAAAATTAAAATATTTTACTAATTTTTTTCCAGGTGCGTATGAATCTGGTCCTGTCTTTTTCTTACTTCAATTGTCCTCATTTTCAAAAACAAGAGGAAGTCCCAGGGACCCTCTTTGGCAAGTAATAAAAAGAACACAGCCATAAAAAGTCCAAGACTCTATTCATATGAAAGTGTACACCTCTAAAGCATTGTTTTTTGAAGATGCACCTCTTCCTCTGTGCAACATCACCCATCTAAATTCCATGGATGAGTGTTTAAATAGAAAGAAGGGGGGCAATTTCACGAAAAGGGGATGTCTCGCTGATGGACAAGGCATAGGCTTTAAAACTAGACCAGTAGCAACAGAGAAACTATAGCGTTTTTATTTTGTGATTTTCATTTATTTATTTTTTAAATCTTATCTTAAAAATATTTTTCTTAAATTGTAGGTATTTAAAAATTTTTGAGAGAAAAATTAATTGTTCTGAGAACTCCTCAACAATTTTTATTTGCTCAGATTGTTAAATTTAAATAAAAAATTATTAATATAAAAGATTCAAAATATTTTATTGTATTAACAAATTGTTGACCGATGACAAGTTAACTTGTTATTGCCTTTTGGCGATATGAAATAGTTCAAAGTTTAATTTGATTTCATGCATTATAAATAAAATTTTTTGAAGTCTATTTAGAATGTTTTACTTTACTACCATATCCAATAACAAAATAACAGTCTTTGACATAACATAGTTTCTGTGTAAAATTGCCTTTCAACAAAGTGTTAATACAGAATTGGTACCACAGGTTTTCAATTATATTAGGATAAAATTTAGATCTAATCATTTTACAAGGTTACCACCATATCTTCATCCTTAAAATTGTTTTTAGAACTTTTTTTTTTAATTATTAGCTTACTATAAAAACTCGTTAAGTATTTTTAGCCAAGGAGGTTAATGGTTAATTTTATCAATAGTTTGAAAAGTTAAATCTTAATACTCCCTTAGAATTTTAAATAGTGATGAAGTGCTTATTATGTTAATTGCATACGTTGAGTGAATACAATTTGACATAAAAATTAATTGAAAGTATATATAATTTACTAAAAAGGATGTGTCACTATTTACCGTTTAATAAATATACGATGGTGATAAAATATCTTTTATCATAAAATATGTATAAAAATAACAAGAGAAAAATATCTTTTGAAGCTTTTCAAAATTATGTTTGTGTATTTTTTTGTAATTCAAAAAATTATGTAATTCAGAGATACATGTTTGCATCAAACATTTTCCAAATAATTTCTATAATTTTTTTAATGTTGTTAAACCAAAAGTTTTTCGTCCATTTATATTTAGAAAAATAATACATTGTACGAAGATCATGCTTTGTTTGAAATGTAAGTGTTAAAAATAGTTAGGTTGTATTATTTTTTATTTATTTTTTCATTTTGTATAAAAATATTTTTTTTGAGTTACACAATATGAACTATCTCTTCATATCATTATCTCTATATCTTCATATCATTTCTCTATCTATTATAACTATCTCTTCATATATCATATCATATCATTAACTTCAAAAATACAACTAAGTGACATCTCTTTTAAAATACAATTATTTTTCCCAGTAAAAGCTTAATGAAAATCTGTTAAGTAAGAAATTTTTTTCTAAAATTTTAGTTAGTAGAATTTTTATTCTATTTTATTTTTTATTTTTGAATAAAAGTTTAGGTTACTTTAAATTTTTGATTATCTGTAGGTGCGCATTAAAATTGTTTATCACTTGCACTTTTTACACATTTATTTTAAATTAATAACACAATTTAATGCTTTCTAAAAAAGAAAAAAAGCAAGAAATGTTTCTTTTTGCAGAACTTTTACTTTTTAACCTTCTTTAAAAGTTTGAAAAAATTTTACATTAATAAACAAAAAAAAAAAAAAAAAAAAAAAAAAAAAAAAAAAAAAAAAAAANAATAAAAAAAAAAAAAAAAAAAAAAAAAAAAAAAAACCCAATATTAATAGTAACAGTCATAAAAAAACATGAAAACAAACTGTTAGAGTATGCTTTCCTCTAAACCTCTGTTCATACATAGGTATAGTTGTTGATACAGCACAAGCTATGAAATTTGCAATTGACATCTGCAGAGGGATGGCTTTTCTGCACACTCTTGATCCTCTCATACAGCGACTGTACTTAAGCAGCAAGCACGTAATGGTACATAGTTTAAATTTACACTATTAGGTGTGTACACTATATGGTATTCCACTGATTTATTTATGATCTTTGTTATTACAGATCGATGATGATCTCACAGCTAGAATAAATATGGCAGATGCAAAGTTTACATTTGAAGAGAAGGGTAAAATGTACTTTCCAGCTTGGATTGCACCAGAAGGTATATTTTTATTTATTTATTTATTCTTTAAGTATTTTTCTTTTTGTTGTATTGATATGTCATTCTGTTTCCTTCTGATTTTTTTTTTCGAAAAAAAAAGCAAGAAATCTTTAAAAAAAATATTTTTGATTGTGGGGAAAATTAAAAGAATTTAACAATAGTACTTTTCATATTAAAGTTTGAAGTTAAGTGTCTGCCACAGATTAAAATAATTTTCATTTTGAGGACTTTTGCTTTTATAAAGTGGCTGATTTTATAAATTGATGTATTTACACGTAGGGAAAAAGGTTTTAAAGTTAAATTTTGAAAATACAATAAAAGCTAAATTAATTGCCTCGATAATATATTTTTTAAATGTTCTCTCATTTAATATTTTGATTAAACGTAAGCTATATTTTTTTAATTTACTGAAGGATTTTAAAATATTAGCTTATTGTTTTTTTGAATAGCTGAATTTTAAATTAAGAAATCAAAATTGTTTAAGAGTTTATAATTTGTTTTATTAACTTTTAAAACTATATTGACTGTCTAAGATAAATTTGTATACATTTCAAATTTATCCCTAATACTCAAATCTTGCTATTTCGGCATTTTGCTGGCTAACAGTAGATTGAAAATGAGTATGAAAATGAGTAATTGTGAGTGTAATCCTTTGAGTAATTGACGCGGTTAGTCATATGTCACTTCACAATGTCACTTCCCCCAAAGTGTTCCAATAGTAAAATGGGAACGAAGTTTTAACATTGCGTTTCTTGTTGAAACAGAAGTGACATATGTTTTTCATTTAATTTTAATAACAAAATAGTTTGTTCAAATATATTAAAAAGCTGGTTTGGATACAAAATAATCGGTTCTATATTATACCATCATTCAGTTTAGTTTAAGGCTTGTTAAATTGTAAAAAATGAAAGATTAATTTTGAGTTTCGCTTTATTATGTGTTCGGTTACGAAAGATGGTTACATTTTATGGCATTTTTCGCCATCATACAAAGTTTAACTTCTAGCTTGTTTTTTGTCAAATTTATTATTGCTTTAATTTTTTTGTTACTGAACCAAAATTAGTTGAGTGAGACAAAAAGGCTGTTGAAACTATTCATGTGGGTTTGTAGCACAAAAATAATTAAAAATGTAAACACAAATCAATCATAATAGTAAGCAATAGGTTATGCATAGTTATGGGCTCTTTAAGTTTTTTAAGGAGATATTACTTTAAAAAAGTTTTTTAACAGCTGAAGACTGCATGGTTATCTGCTCCTTTTTTTGCTGGATAATTTTTTACAAATTTAACATAAATTTTTCAAACCTTTAAAAAAAAGAAATGGTATATTAGAGGTTGCAAGCTAATGTAAAAGAAATATTAGAGGTTGCAAGCTAATGTAAATGTAAAAGAAAAAAAAGAAGTCTAATTCGACTAGCTCATTATAGAGAATATAAAAACATCACGCTTTGCTAATCTAGTATAACAATATATACTCAATTTCAAATAAAAACATTATTAATTATCAGTAAATAAACTATATTTCATATGCCTGAAAATGTTGGTAATTCCGGAGTAGCTTCGAGTTCATGAATTTATAAATGTTTTCATTATTAATTACGGTTAGATGTTATTAAAAATTTTTGATGCACAAAATATTTTAAAAACACAGTTTATTATTAATAATTTAATTTTATAACTACACAGTTTCTCATATTATGACAGTTTTGTGAAATGTAACAACAAGTTAGCTTTATATAAGTATTAAAAAGTGATACTGTACTAAGTATAAAGGAACATAGTGCTTTGTTTCTGTTTGTAAATTGATTACTTAATGACGCACAATGCATTTAAGTGCTGTATGAGGCATTAATATTACTGGGAATTTGTAATAGCCCTCAAAGAATTCAAAGAAATATCTTTCTTCTTTGTCAGCGCAACAGTCCCTTGCAGGCATTGGCTGCCTCAACAGCTGACAAATGCCAGCGCCTCCTATCCATGGGAACTCCCTTCCAATTTCCGATCTTTAGGGTTTTCAAATCATTTTCGATGACATTGAGCCATCTAGTAGGGGGTCTGCTTCTGGGACAAGACCCCTCAGGGAAAGAAATATCACATCATTTATTTACATAAAAAAAAAAAATCCTCATATATTGTATATGAATATAGACTAAAGTAAAACAATTGTTGTTTGTCTGCCAGTCATGTATTGAGGATTAAAATTATTGTAATAGGTAGCAGTCCAAGTACAAATGATGGGAAATAAATAATATCCCGCTGAAAGGTTATCTGTCTTCATTCTGCTATTGTATTTCAGATAATGTATTTTGATACTGCAAGTGAGAATCCAGTTAAAATTAGATGGTTATTAAATATGATAAGTTATAAACAAGTTTCTTTTTTAACCAATTAATTACATTCGAATTGAACTGTTATAGACCAAATACACACCGATTGAACTGTTACAGCCTATTTTTAATTAATTAATATTTATAATTCATTTCCTTTCGTTTGAGCTTTATATATTGTAAATTAAAATTTTTTATGCATTAACCTTCAACGCAATACAGTCAGACCGTCAGAATAACAACAGTCTTAGTTTAGCCTAAAGATTACTAAAATAACCAACATTTTAGGACGGTGTCTTTCAAAATATATGTAACTTTTTATTATATTTAGAATCCTGGATACTTCATATGAAGAATAATCTCAAACAGTTTTATTTTGAGAATTCGTAATGTTTTTGTTCTGCAGTGGATTGCGATGTGTATAAAAGTCAAATTATTTTTGGACTGTAACGCTTTATTTTAAGGTTGCGCTGGTAGCACTGCTTAGAGACAAATGCAAGCGTGTATGCTCTTTGGTTGTTTTACATTAACTGACTCTTGGCTCTAAAAAATAAAGCCAAGAAGCCAACGGGCATAGCAACATATCGGCCCGCGTTGCAATATCCATGATATTCAACTCAATCGTTCAAATTTTAAAATAACACACACAAATAACAAGGAGGGCAATTATGACATATCAAGTAAAAAAAAAAATACATTTAGATTATAAAACAAGAACACAACAAATCAACTAACATGACAGGATTAAATCTTTAAAAAAATATACGGATATTTCATGTTAAAATCACTACAATGCTTGAAATTCACTTAGTAGATTAAATTAACTTTAGTATTTTGACAAATGAATGCAATTAGTGAATTTTTAAAGCACAACAAAGTTTTTAACTTACATTATCTTCAATAGGAAGTAGACAAATTTTAGAAATAGATCTTTTAAGTGGTCCAGATTTGGTATTTACTATTACAACTCAGACCTTTCCATCAGAACCAGAAATAGTTTTATGGATTCTTCCCATCATCCATTTAAAAGGGGGCAAATTGTCCTCCTTAATAATAGCCATATCATTTTTCTTAACATTATCTTTAGAAAAATACCATTTTTTACGTTGTTGCAAATGATTAAGATAATCTACAGATCAACGTTTCCAAATTATCTGTATCATTTTTGACAGTTTACGCCAATGAGACAATCTATTTTCGGGCTCATTGATTAAAATTGGTTCTGCAATAGTATTTATCGGTCGACCTATGAGAAAATGGCCTGGGGTAAGGGGCTCATAATCAGAAACGTCCGATAACAAAGGGGAAATCGGACGGGAATTTAAAATTCCTTCAATTTGGGTAAGTACAGTAAGAAATTCTTCGTAATTAAGTCTAGCATTAGCAACAGTTCTTTTCAAGTGATGTTTGATTGACTTTACTCCTGATTCCCATAGACCTCTGAAATTTGGAGCATGAGGGGACAAAAATTTTCATGAAATATTCTCTGAGGATAAGTAGTTAGCTAAATATTCATTAGGAGATGTTAATAGTGATGCAAGTTTCTTTAACTCTGTATTAGCACATGTGAAATTAGTAGCATTGTCGCTAAAAATACAAGAGCTTTTCCCTCTTCGAGAAAAGAAGGGTTTTAAACATGCAACGAAATCTTGGGTAGATAAATCGAAAACAATTTCTAGATGTATGGCCTTCGTAACTGAACTAATAAAAATAGCAACATACACCTTATGTAAATTTCCTTTTCTTTGATTCTTGTATTTAATAAGGAAGAAACCACAGTAGTCTACTCCTGTATTGTTAAAAGTTAAATTAGGAGTTACACGTTCAGCGAGCAAATTTCCCATTAATTGTTCTAAATTAGTAGGTTTGTGGCGAAAACAACTTAAACAGTCATGAACGTTTTTTCTAGCAAAATCTTTTCCACCCATGGGCCAGTAAGCTTGTCGAATAAAATGCAATAAAGCTTGCGGCCCTGCATGAAGATTTTTTAAAAGGTAGTAAGAAAATATCATTTTAGTTAACTTATGCTTTTTGGGAAGCAAAATTTTATGTTTTGAATCATGGTCAATGCTGGCATTTGTCAAACGTCACCAACTCTTATTAATCCCTTGTCATCAATAAGCACATTTAAATTTCTCACCTGACCTCCATTTTGATGCGTTTTAATCTCATTCTCAAAAAATGACTTTTGTGTTATCTTAAGCAATTTGATCTTACCTTCTTGAATTTCCTCCTTACTAAGTGGACCTGTAGAGCGGTCTTTATAATTTCAATTGTGATTGAATCTGAAAATGTAACTAAAAACTCTAATTAGTTTAAGATAACTATTACTAATATTAAAAATCACAGATATCAAATTTAAATTAATGTTAGTTTGTGTCTTTAGTTCAGTTAAATATAGTTCATTAGAAGTTGTGTCGATGCTTTGTTCATTATCTGGATAATTATTTGCTTGGATCAGGGATCCATTCCACCATAAATCTGATAAGGAAAGTTCTTGAGGATTCAAGCCACGGGAAATGAGATCTGCTGCATTGTTATGAGTAGAAATATGTCTCCACTGGTAGTTCTGAGACAGTTTGGATCTTGGAGACTCGGTTTCCAACAAAGTTTTTAAGCTGGTGAGTTGGCATTTTAATCCATGCAAGTGCGATGGTCGAGTCTGTATGCAAAACGACTTCGTCAATGTTCATTTTAAGGGAATTATAAATCTTTCTTAGAAGTTGAGAAAGAAGTAAGCAAGCTGATAGTTCTAAACGTGGTATAGAAATGACTTCAATGGGTGCAACATGAGATTTGCTCGAAGTAAGATGGCAAGTGGCTTGGGCAATATATATAAACTACAGCTCCATACTCTAATTCCGAGGCATCAGCGTAACCCATTAAAACAGTTTTTGTGAAAAAGTCTGTTAAAATGTATCTATTAATGCAAATAGTTTCTATATTTTGCATAAAAGATGCAAAATTAAGCCACTGACCTGCAATTTGTGGTGTAAGTTGATCTTCCCATGACAGTTTATGTACCCACAATTTTTGGAGAAACATCAGGTTGAAACAGGTTGCAAAAGGCCTAATGGGTCATACAGTTTTGCTATAAAACTCAGCACTTCACGCTTAGCTAATTTGGTGGTCATTTTTGGGATGGACACTTTAAACGTAAATTGATCCTCAATTGAATTCCACCTTACATCCAAAGTCTTGACGCTTGCATCCACTTCTGATACAAAATCATGCTCTGCTGGGACACCTATAAATAAACTGTTCCTTAACTCCCTTGAATTAGAGTTCCACTTATGAAGAGTCATTCCACAAGTTGCTAGAATATCATTCAGCTGTTGTTGCAATTTCTGAGCACCTTCTAAACTTTGAGCACCTGAAACGATGTCATCCATGTACATATCTTCCAAAAGAACTAATGACGTCAGTGGAAATCGTAATTCATCTTTAGCCAACTGCTTGAGAGTTCTGATAATGAGAAATGGGGCACGAGCAGTTCCGTAAGTGACTGTCTTGAGTCTGAATGTTGCAGGTTATGCTTACTCTGCATCTTTCCAAGCAATTCTTAGAAGTTCAATCTATTTTGATTTGTCGAAACATCTTTTGGATGTCTGCCATGAAAGCGTATTTATGTTTACGAAATCGGGTCATGATTTCGAGAATGTCCTCGTTCACGTCCCCCTTCAAAATGACATCATTCAAGCTTACACCTGTTGAGGTACTTGATGAAGCGTTGAGTACAACACGTAACTTAGTGGTTGTCTTCTCAGGACGATAAACACCGTGATTTGGGAGGTAATAGGTAATTTGACTACCTGACAAATTGATTTCATTATCATCATATTTTTCTATATGTTTCATGTCTAAGTACTCCTGCATAAATGATTTGTATAAATCTTGCATTTCTTGATTTCTGGGTAATCTTTTCCATAGTTGATTCAGACGTCGCACGGCTAAGTCTTTGGACTCCCTAAATGCTCAACGTCCTTAACTGGCATCTGTACGATGAATCGTCCACTCTCATCTCTGCGATAAGTATTCTGAAAATGTGATTCATAAAACTTTTCTTCTTCACTTTGAATTTTTATTCTACAGTCTATATCCTCTATTCTCCAGAATTTTTCTAAGCAGTCTTCGACTTCTGTTTGAGTAGTTAGGAGAACGCAGTGAATTTCTGGGGTGCGGGAATTTATTGCTCCAGTTGCAATATATCCAAAAACAGTATTGCAAAACACCAAATCACTGTTTGAAATGCGGATATCTCCAACCTTGATTATTTCAAAAAATACCTCCGCACCTAAACGCATATCTATTCTTCCTGTTACCATGAAATTAGGATCTGCTAATTGTTGCGGAATTACTAACTTATCTATTCTGAAGGATGTAACAGGAAGAAAATTGGTAATTTTGGATACCACTAAAAAATCAAGAGTTTTCAAAAAAGATCTATTACCATTACAAATTGTAGCTTGTATTTTTGAACTTATTGTAGTTTAATTTCCGCCCAAACTCGAAACCCGAAAATTCATTTTTTCTTGCGGTACTCCTAATTTATTAGCGAAATTAGCTGTGCAAATATTCGACATGCTGCCTGAATCTAATATCGCCCAACATTGCATATAAGATCCATTTAAAGGATTTAAAACGCAAATTAAAACAGTCGGAAGTATCGCTGTTTTGTTTTTCGAATTAATACAAGATAAAGAAGCAGAAACGATTTCATTTTGTTGACTATTAAAAACCGGGATTTTTGGGATTGCGGTCATGACCCTGAGAAGAAGCCGAAAACGCAGAGTTATTTATAGTCTCGCGTTTTTTATGAAGTAGTGTATTATGCTTGGACTGGCGTATGTTGCATAAATGTTTCGATTTGCAATTTAATAATTTGTGTTGACTGCTTAGGCAATTAAAACATAATTTATGTTTTGATACCAGCTCACTTCTCTGATGACTATTCAATTTCAAAAAAGAATCGCACTTAAAGATAGGACGATTCATTTTACACAAAATGCATGATTGAGTGATACTTTTATTAATTAGAAATGTTTTTGTTTTAGGTTTTGTTTTCACAATTAGAATTTCAGAGAAAGATTAAGATATTCAGATAATGAATTAGCTTAATGTGCTATGTCTATTTTTTAAACAGAAAAAAAAAAGCATTTTTTTGTATGAACCATTAAGTTTAGTGGGAAGTGCCATTTTAATAATTCCGTTCTAGACAATGTTTCAAACATTGAGAGGATGAGGATCTACGTCATAACCTGCATTATCACAAGCCCCTTCTATTATCATTGACATTGCACGTTGATAGGAATTCAAATTAATTATTAAACAGTTTTTATTTGAACTGTTTTGCACTCCTCCCTTTTTTTAACAGTTTAATTTCACAAAGAAGTGTAATACCTACCAACAGTGTTTCTTTTTTTTTTTTTTTTTTTTTTTTTTTTTTTTTTTTTTGTTGTCTATATGCTACACATCTCTCAAAACTTGAAGAAGGAAAAAATTTGAACAATCTAACTATAACTATCTTAATCTTGATTGCATGAAATTGCGAATATGATTTTATTAACATGTTTTGATATTGCAATGATTATGTTCTTACAGATTTGATTTTAAAAAATGACTGATCTTATTAACTAGTGATTTCATTAGTGACGACCATTGTTCTTTTAGTCTTCAGTATTGAATATCCTCTATTTTTTTATAACATTGCACTTTTATAAATGATTTCCATAGTAATGCAAAAACAAATAGAATTATGAAAGTGGAGCATAATTTTGATAATTGTTGGATAAAATTGCAATTTCTCGTCTGCAGGATATGAAAATGCACAATTCTTTTACAAACATGAAACAGTGAAAAGTACTTAACTTACGTTCTCTCAAAATGCAGGACGATAATTTTTTTTAATTGAATTTTTTAATAAATTTGTCATTGCATACTGTTTTTTTGTTTTTATGGCAGAGAAAAATATTTTTATTTAAAATGAATTGCGTTATTATTATTATTTTGTTTATAACATTTAATTTTTATGTTTTTTTGAAAAGTTTTTACTATTTCACAATTTTTTCTGTTAACTTTGTTTTTTTCTTCTTTTAAGTGATTCTTAAGATGTAATTTTTTTAAATAAATAAGTGCAAAAAAAATAATAGCTTTTAACTCATTATTATTATTAATAGAAAATTATTTTAAAGGATTACAGAACACAGCAAATCATATTTTTTGAACACATAGTTTCATGAAATAACTTCAAATTTTTTTTTTTCTATTTGGAGTTCAGGAATTTTTATCCTATGAGTAGTGAGGCTCTGAAAACAGTTTGCTGAATGAGTTTTTTATTGTTCTTGCAGCTCTTCAGAAAAAACAAGATGAAATTAATGTGAAGGCTGCAGACATGTGGAGCTACGCCATCTTACTCTTTGAATTGGCTACTAGAGAAGTCCCCTTCTCTGACCTGACTCCCATGGAAATTGGAATGAAAGTATGCATATTTGTCAATATGTATAAAATTAATTTTAGATGCTATTAAATGCAAGAAAAATCTTATATACTATTTATTGCTTTAAATATGTTAATCATGGGTGCAAGTCTTCCGTCCCCAGGACGGATTTCCATCTTTCGAAAATGTCCGCGGACGGAAGAAAGACGGAATCAAGACTGACTCGAAGACGGAAATCGGAATTTATTTTTTCTGTCCTTAAAAATACTTTTTAGGTCTACGTTATTGGTCTACTTTCTTATGTCCTGTTGTTATTTTATTAAAAGACATGAATAAATATTTTTTGTACAGTATTTAAACCAAGGATGAAAGACTTCCGCGAAAAAGCGGAAATCCACTTTTTTTTTCTTCCCAATTTTGAAAATTTCCGACCATGTTCCAAAAACTAAAATTTTTGGGAAGTCCTATTGGAGAAACCCAAGCCGCCCGAACGATAGTCGGATTACCGCGACTTCTGCTATAGAGTGGAAAGGAGTCTAAGCGTTTCGTT